CAGCGGCCGTGCAGCTTCAGGGCAGCCAGGTCGTCCTTCGGGGTCCACTGCAGGAGCGACACCAGACCCGCGGCTGCAGGCATCTCCCCACGGGGCAGGTGGGGCTCCCTGCCCAGGATCCGGCCCACGCTCGGGGCCCTGCACGCGCCCAGGCAGACAGGCTCACCGCACACTAGCGTCCACTTGGCCCAAACCCTTCAAACCCAGTGCAAAAGGCTCTCACCTGCAGGTTCACGATATATAGCTTTGGACGACGAGTGGGTGGCTTGCTCATGCACCAAAGACGTGGGTATTTTTTCAAAACCTGCCACAAAATAGAGATTATCAGTACAGCCAAAGGCACGCGTAATTGTGAACCGTATCAGCGAGAGGAAAAGGAATGTATTACCAGGAGGGGAAAGAGGGAGGAAGAGAGACTATCACAGATGGTGGGCGAATCCTGACACCAGAGTTTACAGTTGTCTGTTTGGGAGGAGACTGCTCAGCACCAAGGTGTATCACCAAGAGGGAATGCTGCTAACAATCTTCACCGAGTCTCTAAAGTTACCTTTAAGCTGGAACCCAGACAAAGAATCACATCTGCTTTGCTTGCAGCTTCTGTTGCTGCTTCCCAGTTCAGGGGCTGTCTCAACGTCCCCTTCTCCCCAAAGTGGACGATTGTATCTCTCAACTGTGCCCCACACTTGTGGCACGTCCTGCCAGTGTGATGCCTGTGCAGGGCTGTGCGCTCTGTCACATCAAATACTCGCACGTACTCTCTGTTGGGTGTACAGGAAGTGCAGACCTGGTGCAGGACGAAAGCAAAAAACCTGTTACATCATTAGCATCTAGCCCGTGAAGCGCCAGGAGCCAAGCACTTCTCTCAGAAGAAAAGCACTTTTCGGGGACAATAAATTGGAAGCAGTAGAAGGGATCATCAGGGATCAGATGCTAACTTGGAAAAGTTCGGAAAACCTCAACTAGCAAGTGGAATTACAGGGAGCCTGTTGGCTATGCGATAGGAGGGATTATCAGAGAAGGTCTGAGGAAGAATAGTCAGAAGCAGAAGGCTCTAGCAAGTACAGAGAAAAAACTACTGAGTTGTACAGAACACTTTGTTTTGGCGCTTGCTGACTAGCTCACCCCAAACCCGATGGCCTGAAGATACGAACTAAGCAGAGGCTAGCCCTTGTACTAACTCTTCTTGAGCTAGTGAGAGATAAATAGCTTACATTATCTTCTTGTGAGGCCAGCAGACAGTAACTTTATCCTGTTCTGGCCACTCACCTCTATGTACATGTTTCCATGAAGCTCAGATATTGCCGTTCGGGGTAACCCACTCCGCAGGTGCAGCCCATCACAGTTTTGAGACACCACATGCTGCACCTTGAAGAGAATAGAACACTGAGCTAGCACACATGCAGAAGACTCAAAGTATTACTCAAAGGCAGGTGACGCCTATGTCTCAACATGCACCAAACGGCCCCACACGTCAGAGCAGAACTAACAGAAGAAGAGCGTGGAGAATGGACCGTTACGAAAGCTAAATGAAAAGACTACTCCTGCTAAACAGAGCTCTACTAGGTCTGGCTGACTTTGTGGCCAGGTCCCCAGACCAGCCTCACCAGGAGGGAAATACAAGGTGTTAAAGAAGAGGCACCAGGGGAAAAACTGCCAGAGCTACAGTCCGGAGCTAGCCTAATGAAGACTCAGCTGTACGTGAGCACAGATGCTTTTTCCTACATGGATGTGTAGCCACCCGAGGAAAAACAGTAGTTAGGCAATCTCATTAATAGCTTTTTTCCACTGTTGGGTTTTATTTATCATACTTAGACAAGAGGAACACAAGTGAGGTGCAGAAAAAGCATCTTACCAGGTTGTGCTTGTGTAGGCAGGCAATGCTCATGTGGGTGAGCGTGGGCTCTGCCTCACTCAGATCTGTAGCCCTGACAAGAAGCAAGGAAAAAAGTTGGAATTGCCATTAATCTCTCTTTCAGTATCAGCTTTCTGCTACACAGCTCAGAATCTCTCCTTACCTGATGCTCCGGCCCTTCTGCAGCAATGTCCATATGCCGTTAGGGCCCCTGTAGTCTGGGATTGAAGCTGCCTGTGTTTTCGGGAGAGAAAAAACGAGGCCTGACGGGAAGGTTCATACCTCTTGTCCACAAACACATCAACCCGGTCTCACCCGGGACAACCGGATACACCTCATTCACGGATGCTTTTTCATTCGCTCCAAGTTTTCTTGCCATCCAGAGGGACCTTGACAGGCTTGAGAGGTGGGTCCGTGCGAACCTCATGAGGTTCAACAAGGCCAAGTGAAAGTTCCTGCGCCTGGG